CAACTTGTTCGTGCAGGAGGGTTTGCGCCCCCCCGAGTACGACAAGCCTTGTTTATGAAACTCTGAGTTGATACCATCTTGCTTCGCCTGTGTCTTCGACACGGGCTTTATGCGGCCATTCGCATAACGCAAGACCGGCTGCTTCAGTCTGCACTTCATGGCGAACCCCGAGCCGAGAAGGAGACTGCAGGGTGCAAGGCTTGGCAGGAGAACTGGAGACATGCATGCTGCAAAGGCGTGCTCCGCGTCGAAAAACACATGGAATCTTTTCTAGCAAGCAGGATGTGAGCCGCGCTGAAAGGACGAGTCCAAGGAATTGTATTCGTCCTGTAGAAACTGCGGCAACTCCGAAAAGCGCTGCATAGGAAAGTTCTCCCGATAGAAGCATTTTGGCTCTCGCCAAAAATTGCTGCAGACCAAGAAGAGCCTGGCTCGTTGAGGGCCGCTCTTGTAGATATGCGGCAGCAACGCCCGGCAGTGGCGACGTCCGTTCTTGTACATCATCTGATGCTCGTGGCCGCCCCACTTAAATTGTCGAACTTTGGAACGCCCCATCACATACGGCGTCAATCGCTCCGACACAGGAAGCAAAGCGGCCGCGATCCCCGCCTGTACATCAGGATCTGCTTCGAGCTCCTGAAAGGCTTGCAGCAGGGGCAGGAAAAAACAAGAGTGTCAGCACGTCCTGGGTGGAGAGGCGACACCAGTTGTCGGAAGCAGCCGTGCAGACTGCCACCTTTAAACGACTACGAAGGTGCACAGGAGAGCTGCGAGAAACACGCACAGAAACACGTGCAGGCGAGTGGCGTCAGCAGAAGAGGCTGGTGGCTGTAGAGCAAGTTGGTCCTGGCGAGCTGGCTTATCCATAAAAGTTCATATGACCCGCACGCTCAAAAATAAAAATCAGCGCAGACTGTCTTTCCGAGCTCCTTCTGCCGAAGCATCCTGTCGTAGCCTTTCAACCGTCGTGAGTGCGGCGAGTCGTGCTCGGCCGTAGGAGACAAAGCGACATCGCCAACGTCAGGGTCTAGTAGGCGGTGACGCCGAGCAGTAGACGGAGAGGAAAAGTCCAGCTGCGGACCCCGTTGTCTATGGAGTTCCTCCAAGCAAGCATTTACAGCTACACAGAGTGACGGGGCTCCGGAAGCAGCCCTCACGAAACTTAGGCGCAGTGACAAACACTGTGCTGCAGACCGTGCGGAAACCTCTTCCGCTTGGAGGCAGGCGGCCAGAAGCTCCTGCGGGAAAATAGGGCCCGTCGAACTCGCTACACAGTGAACCCGAGAAGCAGTCCTCATCTGTGGGAAACGAAGATTCCATGGAATCCCCGAACACTGCCGGCCAAGTCCGTCTGTAAGGCTGGGCTGCCGTAGCAGCGAGCTCCTGATGAAGGACCGGAGGCCAGCCCCACGATTTGAACAAAACCTTAAACCCTGAAGTTGACGATGCTGTTAGCCCAAGACCCCAAAGTTTCACAGGGCAAGAGACCTCGTTCAAGAGAGGGGCAGCGAAAAGCCATGCACCGAACCCCGACATGGCTTTACGCGGAGGCTCCGTGATCAAAAGTGTCAGCTTTGCGTTAACTGCATGACCGATGGCAAGTGCAAGACACAGGAAGCCCTGCCCACGGATTGTTGTCTGCAGCAACAGCACCCACAAAGCTCCTCACCCCCGGAGCCTCTGAAAGGGCTTCAGGGCAGAGCTGCGGGCTTCAAGGGTGTATGACATGTAATGCAATGTAGCAATGTACTGTAAAGGCATGCAAGAAATGTAGGCGTGCATGTATGCATGTATACGGGTATGTCTGTTTGTATGACATGTATTGCAATGTACTGTAAGGTCATGTAAGCATGCATGTATGCATGTCGGTATACATACACAAACGCATGCATGCACGTATGCATGCATGTATTCTGTTCCCAAGCATGTATGTAGGTATACGTGTATGCATGAAACCATGGCCACGAGGAAGACGAACCTGGGCGGGCAAAGGGGTACAGGAGGAAAGAAGGGTGGGCAAACGACCAGGTCGGAGC